AGATGAGGTGTCTTGAGCTGACCAAACCCTAATCTTGTCCTGAGTCCAAGAAGTCTTGAGAAAAATCTTGATAAATGAGAGGGCAAATTTTGGGGTACAACAGGGCAAAATTAGCTAATAATGATAAGATTATGAGATTTAAACGTAACAAATATAAATTATGGAAATATGAAACAAACAATTAAGTTAAATAACAAAATTTTAATTAAGCCTATAAACATGGTGGATATTTAAATTAAGGGTTAACTATGTTTTTGATCCCTACAAAAATATCAAATTTGACTTTTCATTCCTATATAAATAAATCATGTTTTAGTCCCTACAAAATTATTTATGCACTTAGTTTTAGTCCCTGTAGAAGGACTAAAACGTCATGCATAAATAATTTTATAGGAACTAAAACATGACATTTTTTATAAGGACTAAAAATCAAATTCGAGATATTTATATGGATCAAAAAAATATTTAACCCTTAAATTAATCTAAAATATGCAATAATTCCTTGTACATATTTAATTTGTATCCCTTCAAATTCATTTTTTAGGTTCCATATCTATAGATTATACTCAACATATTTCTATGACTTGGATTAGTATAAATAGAATATTATGCATCAAGCAAAAGGGGGGAGACACCTAAGGGTGATACTTAGGGAGGATCCATCAATTTTGACTACTATCACTCAAAATAATTGTTGTTTCTATTAAGTTCTTACTGTTTTTCTGATGATTTCTGCACTTGTGATATTAAAATCTTGTCTTTATTTTCATTTTAATTTGTTATTACTTTACTTATTTTCAATTATTTAATTTTCTTGTAATGTTCTCAAACTTCTTTATTATTGTTGTTCATCTCACCATGAGTGAGTAAATCCTTAATGATGCATAGTTATGAGAGTCCATCTCATAGAAAACTCCTATTGAGTTATTCATTTGTAATTACGAGAAATATGGGGTGCTTTATTTTATAATTTGAACTCTAATCCATGTTTATGTCAGTTGCGAAAGCAAAGGCAAATTAAATGTTGGTCATGTATCGAAAGATAATGATTCGACATCTGAAAATGGATTACTAAACAATTGAGTTTGAGGTGCCACTGACAAGGCGACTTGATTTCACTTGAGAAACAATCAAGATGCAGTGTGACAAGGCATAACGCTCTTGATTGAATTTCTTAGTCGTACCCAAAACACGTCTAGATGCACATGCCACGAAAGTGGGCGTCACACACATTTATCTAAAATTTCTATAAAAATAACTTAGAAATTCTTATGATTCAAACATAGATGATCATATGGGTGAGCCTAAATGGATGCTCAAAGCTCCCAGTCTTGCTTTTTATTATTTGTTAAAATTTATTTTCAATCTGCATCAAATCAACCTTTTGTGATCGCTTAAGATAAACACAATTAAAGTAATATTTTGTAATCATACATCACTCTATGGGTTCGATTCTTTTTACTACTTGACAAAATCATGTACTTGCAGTTCACATACGATTAATTTTTTGGTACTGTTGCCCGAGAGATATTTTGATATTGAAATTTTATTCCAACACCGTCTAGACTAAAGCACTTTTAATTTTTACTATTTTTTTATTTATGCATAAAAGGCCCTCTTATTTTGAATGATTCTTGCTAGAGGATCTATTTAGGAGATGAGCACTTATATGAATAATGAATTAGGAAGCGTATACTCTGATGCCTATAATAGGACGTGGGAAATCACCCAATTTTTCTTTACAATAACCACCCATACTATACTGATGAACCACAAAATTTCCAACCATCCAACCTTGAAATGTTAATAGATAATTTTATTGGGACGCAAGCTCGCTCTAACCTAGAATCTATGATGAAGAGTTTGGTGGCGACACAAACTCTCCAGAATGAAGATCTTAGAGAACAAAATCTACATACTAGTGAGGTCCTTAGGAAGCTAACAAATATGGTTGAGTCCCTTGCGACTCACAATAAGGCATTGGAGATCCAAATCTTCCAACTTGCACACATCCCTCTAAGACCAACCAGAAGTGGAAAACAAGTTGAAGATTCTAGGGAGAATGATAAAGTGGTTGAGGAAAGTTCTGGTTAGAAAAAGGTAGATATTGAGAAAAATTCACGGACACTACCCGAAAAGAGAGTTGTCGAAGAGGTAGAGAAGAAATCACCTTATGTTTATCCTCATCCATACAATGCAGCGATTCATTTCCCGCACATATTTTTGGAGGCTAAGGTAAGGACCCAATCCAAAAAGTCCATAGAAATCTTGGAAAAGATCCACACCAATATACCATTGATGAGGTCTTATTTAAAAAGATAAAATTAAAGGACCATAAAACTGGGGAAATTGTTAATGTTAAAAGGGGAGTGTTAAACTTTGAGGTGGGGGGTGAAAGGATTTAAGCCAAATCCAAAGATAAGAGACTTAGGATAGAACCAAAACCACCCCGATAAGTTCAAAGGTATAAACCATCCCATAGAAAGAAGAGAGGTAAGAATAATGTATACAAAGATGGTTAGATAAATGGACATGGTGACACTCATTGACCGTAGAGCTAAAATGATTTTAAACAAAGCACTTCGTGGGAGGCAGCCCATGCTTTTAATTTCTTATGTCTTATGTGCTGTTTCTTTATGCAGGTTATTTTTCTTTCATATTCCTCTTTTGTTACGCTTCCCACCTCCTTAGTGAGGTGTTTGTGAGTTTTTCCTTACCTCTCCCTACTTGAATAGGAATATTGAGGCCAATGTCCGGTTTAAGTTTATGGGGGATATTTCTCTTATTTTTTTGTTTTATTTGTTTGTTGTGTGTTTTTGTGTTGTTAGGATAGTTTTTGTTGAATAAGTTGCATATACCGTTGTTAAAAAAACCCAAAAGTTGAGTCCTTAAATTTTTTTCTTCTGAAAATACTCTTTATTTTGAAAATTTTGTTGATAAAGTATATAGGTTTGTAATGAGGATTGACTAAATTTAAGGGCCCGTGGAAAATCGAAAATAATTGGTATTACCTTTTCCTGGATCACCTTTGATGTATCTCAAAAAATCCAGATAACAACGTTCATGTGTTCTTGGTAAGGAGAATTCAAGAACTGACTTACCACACTAACTCCAAAAAAAATGTTTGGACGTGCGACTGTGAGATATTTTAAGTTTTCAACCAATCTCCTATACCTCCCCGAGTCAGATAGAGGCTCCCCCTGATTAGGTAGGAGTTTAACACTTAGTTCCATGTGAGTATCACCTCGTTTAACGTTTAAAAAAATATTTATTCAAAAACATCCATATCATATTTCTGTTAAGAAATTACCAGGTCATCTTTGGATTAGGCTACCTCAATATCCAAGAAATAACGAAGTTTACCAAGTTTTTCATCTGAAATTAATTCGAAAGATGTTGTCTCAACTAGATTATTCCTTGTTGATCACTACCATTTATGACAATATCATTTATATACACATTAAGATAATACATTAATGGTGAGATAAACATTTTATGAATCTCTTTCATAGGTTACTCATGTCGGCTACCAAACCTCTTCCACTTCTCGAATAAGCTACCCCGATAAGGCAAGCCCGACCTAATTTTCAGAAAGACTTCCCCGCTTTTATGCCATAGCCCCAAAATGGTGAGGCCTAGCTATCAATCGAAGTCATTTTGCCATTCATATATAAAGCATCTCACGTGAGATTTGAGGTATTCTCTCTCTAATACACAACTCATTTACTCTTCATTCTCTTACTGACTTAAGCGTTTGAGTGTTAACTTACAGGTCCATCCTGCATCAGAGATCTCATCTCACCGTTTGACTGATCATTTCTGATTCCTAAGCCGAACAAATACGATAATGGAGATGAAGAGTGACAAACAATATTTTTTATTGATGATTCACACTTAAATTTAATGTCTTTCAAAATCTAAGATTATAATATTTGGCTAAAAGAACGAATGGTTAAAATCTTTAAAAATAACAAGATATACAATTGACACTCATTAAAATTGTTCAACTTAAGATATTTATAGTTAAAAATTAATGGAGTGGACCAAATTAGCTAATAATAATAAATTTATGAGATTTAAAAGTAACAAATATCAATTATGGAAATATAAGACCAACAATTAAATTAAATAACAAAATTTTAATTAAGCCTATAAACATGATAGATATTTAAATTAAGGGTTAAACATGTTTTTGGTTCTTATAAAATTATAAAATTTGACTTTTGGTTCCTGTATAAAATAAAAAAAAATTTAGTCCCTACAAAATTATTTATACACTTAGTTTTAGTCTCTATAGAAAGATTAAAATATCATGCATAAATATTTTTAGAGACTAAAATATGACATTTTTTTTATAGGAACTAAAAGTCAAATTTAAAATATTTATAAAATATATTTAATCCTTAAATTAATCTAAAACATGGAACAATTCCTTGTACATATTTAATTTGTGTCCCTTCAAATTCATTTTTTATGTTCCATATCTATAGATTATACTCTGCATATTTCTATGAATGATTTAAAAACATAAATTTTGGTCCAAAAAACTGTAATTTCCAAATGGTAAAAATTTGAAGGTAATTTAAAACTTATCAATTTTATGAGGGTGTAACCATTGGAATAGGGTGCAAGGTAGATTCTCCAAATAACAAATAAACAAAATAATGGGCCTAGGCCTCGACCCATGTGTGAGAAAGTGAATTGGTCCATATTTGCAAAAATTGCGAGTAGCAACAGAACAGTGCGTGCGAGAAGAAGAAAAACCAAAAGAGAAGAAGAAAGTGTTGTGTTGTGGCAGTGGAGTTTGGTACTGTAAAGTGTAAATTTCCATTGTACCTGAAAATTTCGTATGCTGTTCTTTTCATTCAACTCGTTCTTTTGATATATCTTGTTTCTGTTTTCTCTTCGCTATAACCCTTGCTTCTACACTCGGTCACTGATCGCAGTTTTTTTTTTTTAATTGTATAGGAAGAAGATCGACAAAAGAAACAGAGCCGAAAATGAAGATGGTAAACTCCTTCAACCTCAAGGTAACTCTCATTTTCAAACTCTCTTCGGAACTAGTTTATTCAAATATGCATGCCAAGTGTTTGTGAAAATGTGCTTGTTGTGTGGTTAGTTAAAATATGTGCTACATGGGATTAAATTCAATTTTTTTTTTGGAATTGCATTGTAATAAATGCTGCTGGTGTGTTTTCAGAGAGCTGCAGCTGGGATTAAACGCATTAATCTTGATGGTCTCCGATGGCGAGTTTTCGATGCCAAGGGCCAGGTGAGTGAGTATGTGGTTTTTGCATGTTTTCTTCTCATGAATAAACAAACAGGGAGTCAATCAGACAATAAAATGATGTTTTTTAATGTAATAGTTTAGCGGTCATAAGCAATTAATTATTTCTTTCGGATAGTCAAGCCAGTATTGGTGAAGCATTTTGAAATCATTTATTGGGTGAATTACATACATATAAGCAAGTTCTGTTTGATATCATGTAGAAGATTCCTAAGCTTTGGACATTTTATGCACTTTTGATTAGTGTTTGGACTCTGGATTGTTATCAACTACTGAGTGATTGGCTTATTTGAAGTAATAAGGTTGTTTTGCTAATATATATATGGTCTCCGTGTAGATTCTTGGGAGGTTAGCATCTCAAATAGCTACTGTTGTGATGGGAAAGGATAAACCAACATATACTCCTAACCGTGATGATGGAGATGTGTGCATTGTGCTTAATGCCAAAGATATTTGTGTGTCTGGTAGAAAACTTACAGACAAGGTCTACTACTGGCATACAGGGTACGTTCTTGGCATTACTACATTTGATACTTTTTACTAGAACCAAAGAAATATTTATAATTTTAGGCTTCTTTATGAATCTAATGATTTTTTTTTCCTGTGATTTAAAGGTGTATTTTCTAAGAAATTTTGTCTCCAATGTTATAATTGTCGTTCTGTATATGGTTTCTTGTGCAACATAATCTTTTGACATTATTCAAATTATTGACTAAAATTAATGGTGTGTAGGTATATGGGCCACCTTAAGAAAAGAACTCTGAAGGATCAGATGGCTAAAGACCCTACGGATGTAATTCGCAAAGCTATTCTACGCATGCTGCCTAAAAACAACCTACGTGATGTAAGTGTTTTGTAGACCTACGTTTTTGGGATTTTTTCTAACCGAGTATGAAATGAAATTTCTGGTGGCCAGAATGAGTGTTTTTATTGTTGTTGGTTTGCATTTTTTCTAGAGTAGAATCTTATTCAAAACCAAAAATAGAAAACTTCGAAGAGTATGAAATGACATTGTAAGGATGTTTGGTTATGGTTTCAAGAACTGATTCCTACTGTAGGAGTCAAATCTAATGAAAGTGACTTGAGGGTATCTTTAGTGGTGAACAAAACTGTCTTTGGGTAGGACCTAATGATTTTCCAAAACATTACCCTGCAAGTAGCATTATAACAACCCATGGTTTTCTAAAATATCTCTACAATTATACTTCCAAGTTAATGACAAGAAGGTTCAAATCTTTTATAATCTATTTTTGATTGTCTAACCCACACAGACCTATGACCATTTGATGCCAAATTACTGTAAAATAACCAAAGAAAAGATCGAGGAGAATAACAAGGCAATATATCCTTAAGTTAAAAAGTCACAAGTCACAACCATGTGTAGTAGCAAACCTTCTTGTAACTAGAATCTCTATTTTTTCATAAATTGAAGAAGACAATAGATTCAGCTATTTGGAGTATGTGACACAGACTATTCATCCCATGTTGCTGGAACAAGTCCCTTGACTTTTTATTTATTTATTATGAATTCTAAAATGATAGTCCTCTACTATCACAAATCTGTTAAAGTTCCTGTTGTCATCCATTGTAAATTTTGCAACTGAAAATCAAACTTCATCATTCCATGTCAGTCAAAAAGTTAGTGACCTTAATTTCTCAGAAAACTTATCACCATCAAAACTTTCACCTATAAACCTTGAATAGTGTGACAAAATAAGAGTGAGTAGATGTAGATCCATATCATAATTAAAGAATTTAATTTTAGGGATAACTAGAAGGTTTAGGGGTGAGTAGTTTGCCCAGTATTTTAAGGGTAGGGCATCCCACAAGCCTTTCTGATGACATAGAACTGTAATTAATGACCCACCCATGAAAGCCCACCCTATAGGAATGGAATTGTGGCATCCAATAGGAACTGAACACATCACTTTTTTGTTGTTTGATCTACTAGGTGTGCCAGGTGCTAGCCAACTTCATGATTTGTTGTGCCTTCCATTTATCGTAGGATCCAATGTTTAGCACTTGGATTATAAAATGACAGAAGAGCATTTGGTATGGGGAATAATATTATTAGTGTATTCAAAATTCATTAGTCATTTCATACATGTCCGTAGAATTGCTCAAGAATTGTTTTCTTGATAGATGCGATTTTCTAGTATTGCTCTTTTAATCTTTTTAGAGCTTATTTCAGATTCTTTTTATTCTGTTCTGTAAAATTGAATAATTGATCTTCTAAGTTGTATTTTCTTGCATTATTGCTAATCTATGTAGGACAGGGATAGAAAGTTAAGGATCTTTCCTGGAAGTGAGCACCCTTTTGGTGATCGGCCACTGGAACCTTATGTGATGCCTCCTAGGACAGTGCGAGAAATGCGACCACGAGAAAGGCGTGCAATGATTCGAGCACAGAAGAAGGCAGAACAGCAACAAGAGAATGCTGAGCAGCGACAACAGAATGCTGATGAATTGAAGAATGGCAAAAAGAGTGAAGCACAAGAGAGTGCATGAAAACGTTATTTGCTCATGGGGGTTGATATACTAACCTACCGGGTTATCATTTCAACAAAAAGCCATCTTTATCTGTCATTCTTTGGCAAAACCTATAAAGTCATGTTGATTTGTGTTTGAATTATTGTTTCTAAGGTCTCCTAAAGAGTGTAGTTGAGAAGAAACTGTTTAATACACAATCTTGCATCTTTGTGATAATGCTTCAAGTTCAAATCTGAAAGTGTAAGCCAAACTGCCATTTATGCATTTTAAAGTACTATTTTTATTTTCCTTCAGGTCTTTAGAGGATTAAGGACTACATAGATTAAATGAATCGATAAATGAATTAAAAAAAGAGGAGTGAGCACCAAGGTAATGATCCTTTATAATAAGAAAATAAGAAATTGAGGTAAGAAGCATGATAGGAGTTTGCTTTAATTTTTAAGAGGATGTTTGAGGCCGGTGCTAAACACGGTAGGATTTAAGCCGCCATTTGAATAGGGTGAAAATTTTGCAGTAACACGCTGTTAAGATCAATCATAATTTCAAGGAACACAGGCACAAAGCTGGTTAGAGAAAAACATTTGGTTGTCTTTGTGTTTCCCAACGGAAAATACTAGGAAAATACTAACAAACACTTGAAGAATAATGAAATAAGCATATCCCATTCATTAAAAAAAATATGAGAAACTCTTTTCCACAGATCTCAAAAAGGCCAAAGATATAATGATTCTAGAAGCCAGAGAATGTATTTTGGTAGAATCCGAACGTCATGTAAATCCAGATTCATGTTTGGGTTCTAGAAGTGTAATTTTGTAAAAAAAATAATAGAAGTGTGTAACAGTTAACACGTATCAATTCTAGAATTCGATGAATGTTTAGATTATAGAAATTGAACTTGTAAATTTTAAAGATTTATTGAATGTAAATTTTAGATTCTGAAATCAAATGAGTGTAATTTTGTAAAACAAATAGAAGTGGAGGAAGAGGAAATAGAATGATAGTGTTTAACGTGTTTTGAATTTTAAAATTCGTATGAAAATATTTTCAAAAGTTTGAGGGGGCATGAGAGTGGTAGTTTAAACTAAATTCACAAAATATTATAACAAAAAAAAAGAAAAAGATATGTCACCAAATTTGAGTTCAAATATTTGAGTTGACAACTAAAATTAAAATTAGATAATTTTGAATAGAAAATTAGTTTTTGAGTAAGTTATATAAGAGATTAAAATTGTAATTAAATTTAAATATAGAGAATAAAAAATACTGTGACAGTCAACTGAAAATTTAATTTATTAAATAAAATATTATGATTTTAATAAAAAATAAAGAAAAACAATAATTTTTTTTATGTATTTACATGATAAAAAATTGTAGGTTTAAATAGTGTTTTTGTAAACTAGCGAGATTTTGAATTTAGTTCTTGAATCTTTTTTTTTTGTTGGTGGAGGTCCCCATATGTTTCTTTCATGTTGGTGTTAATCTCTGCTGATGACTTGGCATTTGATTTATTATTATTTTTTCTTTTCATAAACACACGTAGATATTATATTTTACAATTAATAAAAGAGGGATAAAAAAATTCATTTTCCAAATCTTCCATCTCTCTCCGCCATTGCACTTTATTCTCCCTCTCTCCATCTTCAACATCCAAATGATCATGACTTTGTCGTCGTCGTCTACAAAATCACATCACGTTCAAGTACCTATTTGTGGTTGTAATAGAGCTATGCAAATGTTTATGTCAAACTCAATTGAAAATCCTAAAAGGGATTTTAGAAGTGTCAAAATTTAGGGTTAATGTCTGGTTGCAAGTTGTTCAATTGGGATGATGACCTTGAACGAAATCCGCATAGTGATCCTAGAAGTTCAAGTGGATGCAATTGCTCGGATGTGTTGAAGGATTTAAGGTCCATTGTTAAGGAGATTGAGGTTGACAAAAAGGAAAAGATGAAGTAAAGTTGGAGAAGGAAAAGAGAAAAGGAAATTTGTTGAAGCTATCGTTGGTTGTGTCATGAGGTTTCTTCTTTGCTTACCATAAATGATGGTGAATCCCATTTGTTTGTGTCTCTTTATTGTATTTTGATTTTAGTCCTTGTAACATTAATGTTTTTTGAAATTCGTCCCTGTACCATTTGATGAATGAAAATGATGTTTTGATTTTGGACCATATACATTTGCACTTTTATTGTTCCTCCTACTTTGCATTTTAAGTGACACAAATAATATTAGAGGTAAAAAGGCAAATTGTTACTAGGCCATTTCAATTGGGCATAAACCAAGCTTAATCATGTATCTAAAATACATGATGTATCCAAAACATAAAGGTTCAAACACTAAGGATAAAGCAAAAGCAGTAATGTAATCAAAATACCTAATACCAAAATAAAACGACTTAAGCCAAAGTACATGGATGTAGTCATCTTGTTCAACATAACATAAAAAACATAATCCAAAACATTAATGTCTACAATTTCCATAGTTGTGCAGGGTTACTTCCTTCTCCCTTAAGCTTTTTGAATTTGAGTACCCTTGCTCTATCACTTCTCCTCTACTCCAACTTCTTTGCTACCTTTTGTTTGGATTGCTTTATCTACAAAGACACAATCAAAATAGAAGCATTAAGCCAATATCATTAAAGCTAATAACAAACATCTTAACTTAATAACTATACCAAACTCAAGTGGTTTATGATTTCTAGGAGGCGCATAGACATGTTTCCTAGGTGGATGTGCATGAACAGCTTCCTGAGGTGTAGGGTCAACCTCTTGAACAGGTGCAGACAAAAATGTAGTTGGTTTGTGAGTTACCAACTCCCGTGTTTTGTGAAGCCATTACAGGTGCAACCTCCATAGTCGGGACATGATCACTAGTATATTTAGTTGAAGCTTTAGTTTATGAAGTAAGATCATTGACATTAGGTTGAGGTTGTGTTGTCTCAAATGCTGCACAAAGATATGCTGCAAGCATTTCAAATTCTTGGTCCACATCACATTGTCTTTCAGGTTGTTGTTCAGTTGAATCTTCAATCTAAAGTTGTTGTTGTTCAGTTGAAGCTTCAGGTTGAGTTTATTGTTGTTCAGTAGAAGCTTCAAGATGAGTTTGTTGGTCTGCTACAGTTCCAAATTGAGTTGTTTGTGTTGCATTTTTCTTTGGTTTTTTCTGCACATAGAATGATGCAATTAATATCACACATAAACTGTTAGTAAGAAGAACATATTTGAGTTAACTTAATACCTTTCTTTTTTTAGCTTCAGGGTCAGACACCATAATTGAACAACTCTTGCATTATGGCTATGTACACAACAATTGGTATAACAATAAGATGTTTGTGTCCTTCCCTAGTTGGGGTCCTCATCAAGTTCCTCTCCACTCAATTTCTTTGGCCTTCTAGGGAATCTTTTGTATGATGGAGGCAACATCTCTTCAGTTTCAACCTCAGGCCACATATCTTGGCCATTAATTGGGCTAACATTAAAACCATAACATGCCACATATGTTTCCTTTGAATAACAATTATCTACATAGTCTTCTGAGCATTGGTTCCTAAAGCCTAATGTAGATGATGCATGTCTACATGGTATGTCTACCAACTCCTAGAATTTTTAGGGTGCATGTTCTTTTAGAAGTGTCTACTATGAAACTACGTCTGATATGAATATGTTTAACTTGCCATATTGTATCACCAGACCAGTTTGGAATCCAATTACCAGTATGTTCTATTTCTTTATCTAACCAAATTCTAGGTCTTGGCATTATTCTATGTTGTCACTGTTGTACCCCAAAATTTTTCCTCTCTTTTCTCAAGATATTTCTCACAAGATCTTCAATAGCTCAAGCCTGTACAAGTGTTGACTAGGTCAAACCACCTCCTAGACACTGATGCCTCAAATTAGGGTTTTGATTTTCACAAAGACAATTGGACTTATAATGCCTCAAATTACTTTCATGGATCATTATAGACCTCTAGGAATACTCATGTCAAGCTTCAAGTCTTGAATCACAATTTTGTTCAGTCAATTGCTCAGATGACTGAAAATCAGCTGTATTGGCGAAAAAGTCAACTGTGGTCAACCTATAGTAAAACTTTAATTTTTTGACCAATATCAACATTTTGAAGTCATATGTGTCAATTGATCAAGTTTGGATCACAATTCCCCAAGAAAAATGTTCAAATCATCAAAAGGGCAAAATGGTCAAAATTAGGGTTTTGACTGAGAAGGCTTGATTTTTGATTTTTGACCTAATATATGACTTATTAGTTTGAAACATGACCTCAAGGATTCAAGTACATCATTTTGACCTAATTGCATGACTCAATTCATCTCTTAAGATCAATTGATTGATAGTTGAAATTTAGTCAACTGAGGAAAAGTCAACTGATGCATTAAAAGTCAAACTTTGATTTTTTGATCAACATTAAATTACAAATATAAAAATTCATCAAGACATTCAAAAATATGAACATTGATCATCAAGAAATCAAGAAAGTCAAAAGTCTTTGAAAAAAGTCAAAGTTTTCAAGACTTAGAAAATTTTCTAAGTGTTTTAAGTCTTATTTTTTCATGACTTCGTGTCAACTTTTCACCAAGATGCAAGATGATTCAAAGAAAACTTACAAAATGAAAGTTGTAGATATTTATGAGGTATACAACTTTTATTTACTAATAAAGTCCTAGAAATGCTTGTATTTTGAATTATGAATCCATAAAGTCATGCACTTTTTCTTAAACACTTGGTGAAATTTTGACATAGTTTAGGCAGATTTTTGACCTAACTTCTTGGCCAATTTTCATCAATATCCAAGAGAATTTTGTTAAAATGGACAACATGAAAGTTGTAGATAATGTTCCAAACTTTTCAAAATGCCGAATAACTCAATGAGATCATTCTTGAGCTAGAAGAATCAAAGAGTTGAAGTTAGGGTTTCAAACTTGAATTACAAGTCAATTTTATGATGAACACATGACCAAATCCATAAGCCATGCTGCATAATCTTGCTTTGTAGGCTTATAACTTGC